ACATGTTTGCATATTGGGACAAGCATTATGAGCCATAACTCATTAGGTAATCAAGCATTGGTCTAAATAAGCTTGTTTTTTTTTTCCCGTATGATAAGCTCTTATTGGTATGAATTTATTGTTTAATCAAGCTAATTAAACTGCTCTGTCAGTTTTCTTTGAGACAAACCACTTTACCAGCACATGTAAAGGTGGGAATCAATTTTTAACTTATGTTACAATAAAATTGGGTAGCAAATGAAAGTTTGAGGCATGTGAAAAAAGTAGGTTCAAGGAAATGCAATTAAAGGAGTAGGTTAAATAGTTTGACAAACTAATAAAAGTATAAAGTATTCCCATGACATAATTTTCAGTTTGGAAATATAAGGATGAAATTATATGCATTATGTATTTACAGACGAGTGAGCACCTCACCATTTTGATTTACAAATACATCTTTCTCCTCTCCAATGAGTTGAATGACGTTTGCTCTATTTAATTGGTAAAAATGCACTAGAACATCAAACTACATTTTGAGGTATAGAATGCAAGAAAGAATTATCTATTTAGAAGAGATTCTTTTCTTTAAAGAACGAAGTTTTATCAAGACTAGGTAGATATTATTCTGTTCGGATTTTATTAATGTACAAATAGACCAATCTCGTAGTTAGGAATGACAACATGTCAAACTCGTGATATGTTTTATGAAACTTGAGCTAGCCTTGTATCTCATTTTGATGGATTTTATGTCAACCAAAATAAACTAATATGTTATTTGGGAATTAAGTTCAATTTTTTTTTTATTCAATTTGATCCAAACCGACCTGATATTAATTTTATTTTACATAAAATCATCAAGTCGATTATGAGTATAAAAACAGAAACAAAGAGAAATTGGTAGAATCACGCACAAAATCAAATCAAAAAATTGTATTTGTTGTTTTCTTTCATATTCAAACATATTCATACTTCAAACATCATCAACAACAGCAGTAATCCCAGTTTAAAAAAATAATTCACACCTCCATTAAAAACAAAGGAAGAGAATGAAATTTACCTACTCAAATTTGTAACTTTCCAATCCAGTCTATTGTTCCGTTCCCCTCAATTGTTCCTTCGAGCTCCTCTCTCTTTCTTCAGTAAGGCCGCCTTTGCACAATAATCATCATCCCGAGCCATCATCAATCATCTCATAAACTCGCTTCCTGAAGCCAGAATTCGGACTCCCTTTTCTTTTGCCTCGTTAAGTGCTGCTTTCCTCTGTACTGCTTACCTCTTTTCTGTACCAGTCATCATCTTCGACGCTTCACATCTGCCTATTGATATTTCGTTTCATCTTGTCATCAATCTCTCAGTCTCACCTGCTCGCCATCATCACATCACTTGCTCCTCTGTTTTGGTAGCCTAATCCCTTTCTCTTCTGTTTATCCTTTCGATCGTCCTTGGGGCAGATGGACGAAGCAAAATTTATTCTCCAAAACGGTGCCGTGTTGGAGAAGAGAAATGATCCTTATTTTAATGGCTTTTTGGGTTTGAATTAAATTGGATTTTAGGGTTAAAACATATGGGTTTATGTGTTTTGGATTTTGATTTTAAATTAGAAGAAGGGTTAAGATAGTTTAATATTGGATTGAATTCGAATGTATTCATGAATTAATTTTTAAAAAAGATTACAGTTTAATTTGAGTTTCGACTTAAAATAAAAAAATTGAGATATTTGAGTAAATGACGAATTAGATTACATAATAAGAATAATAACAAAAAAAATAGAAAATAGTTTGAACAAAATTATGATATTACAAACATATATTTGTAAAGCCTGTTATTTTTAAAGAATTTTTTATTTTTACTTAAATATCATCTTAAATATTAAATATACATATTGTTCTATTTATTTATTGAGAGTTTAAAAATCTATCGAATACTTTGAAGATGACGTATACCACTCTTCCTATGTTAAATAGATGAAGAAATCCATTAACTGAAAATATGTTATTTCTTACTAATGAGAAAATAAATTTAATGAAGAATATAATTACTATTTTGAAATATCATAAAGATAAAATAATATTTTTTATTAGTATTAATTTCTATATTTAATAAAGTATTTGACTATTTCAAATATTTTTCATTACCTAACACAAATAATTTTGAGTATTCTAAAAAAATAAATTGATTTCTATACGAGTTAATGTTTAAAAATTATTATTACTATGCCTTCTCCAAACAAAAAGCTTCTTAATGTCTTCTAACAACAACAATTATCGATGATACGAACAACACAAGTTCTTTTAATATATTTTTTTATGAGAATAAAAATACCATTGCAATTGACATTTTCTCACTTGGAATGAAATTTGAATATCATGCTTATTGCATTATTTGAACTAATTTGAAATATCCAAGAATGAATATTTAAAGATTTTTTTCTGCTGAAGTAATTACTTAATAAAACTAAAATATTTTTGTGGAATTATATATATTTATCGTTAGTAGAGTTATAAGTTCTAAAATAATTTCCAATGACACTCAACGGTGATTGTAATGTAAAATAATAAATGTGAAAAAAATAATTTAAAATTAACATTTTATTTTTTAGAACACTGTTTAGTTAGTAATATTTATTCAATGAACAGTAAAAATAATATTATTTTGTTTAGAAAAAAGAAAATAAAAGCTTGAAATCCTGGATCCAAAACAAAGTTTATGTATTCTATGAGACGACTTCAATATGGAGCAAGAGAGGAAAGTCAAAATGAACACCTCGGCGTATACTGACACTACCCCGCTTTTGGCGATCTAAAAAGAACTTCTTACGAAAAAAAAATCAATTAAAAAAATGGGAAATCAAAAGCGAATGATGAACCAGATTGAAGAGGCAGTGACTGGATTCAAGCTGGTCATGGATTCCCATAACACTCGTAACTAATACTTTTTATTTTCTTGATTTTAAATCACCCCCTCCACGTGCACTTTACTCACTCTTCCTTCTACTTCCTTGTACCACTAGCTATATCTCTATATATAGATATATTGTATGGTATCTTGTATCTCCTTGTTTGTATGTGTATAAATATACGCGGATACAGTTTTGAATCCCATTACTTGCTTGTATGACATAGACATGAACTTCAGTTTATCTAATGGCAGAAACCGTTGCGTGTTAAATGTTGTATAAATCTCTGTATTGAATCGTGGGATCACATACATCTGTAGATAGAAGGTATTTTTTCTGGATTTAAAGCAGGAGGTTGAAAGAAAAGTGTAATCAAACATGGATAAGTATGAGGTGGTGAAGGATTTGGGAGCTGGGAATTTTGGGGTAGCCAGGCTTTTGAGGCACAAGGAGACCAAGGAGCTAGTTGCCATGAAATACATTGAGAGAGGCCACAAGGTTTGTCTTCGTTCTTTTTTTCCTATTCTCTCTCTCTCTTTTTTTTTTTTTCTTTTTCTGTTTGGTTCCCGAGAAAATTCTCAGCGAGCTACCTTCTGGGTCGTTCTTCAATTTCACAAATTCACTTCGATAACATTCAGCTGAGGCAGGACTACTTTGCATTCCTATGCGGGTCTTCTACTTCAATATTAAGGTCTTAACTTGAATAATAGCTCAGGAAACAGATAGTGGTTGATTGGGGAAAAATCAGTAAATGATGTGAAACTAAAAAGTTTTTCCTGTTTGTTCTCGGCAATCAAATGGAGTGTTCAGATGTTCTCTCTTCTCGCTGATATCAATTATTGTTAGCTGGTTGCAGATAGATGAGAACGTGGCAAGAGAGATAATCAATCACCGATCACTTAGGCACCCAAATATAATCCGGTTTAAGGAGGCGAGTATCCGTGTCTTTCTTACACTTCTTGTTAAATTTCTTGAAATGGGGTTTTAAGTCTCTAACACAAAATGGAAAAAAACTGATGGGATTTTAAATTTCTGAAGGTGGTTTTGACCCCTACCCATTTGGCCATAGTGATGGAGTATGCCGCCGGCGGCGAGCTCTTTGAACGAATCTGCAATGCTGGTAGATTCAGTGAAGATGAGGTTAGTCCTCTATTTTTGTTATCTTTGTGTTGTTTTCAATGTCTCTGTTTTTGTCTTTTTGCAATCATGAAGTGGTTGTGTTGCCTTTCTTATTTAAATTTTTGCAGGCTAGATACTTTTTTCAGCAGTTGATCTCTGGTGTCAATTATTGCCATTCCATGGTAAATTCCAAAGGCTTGATATCACTGAAATTATCTTCTCCTAGAATTTCATTTAACTAGATCTGCTTACATCTTGTATAGAAAAGTAAATCCTATTTATATTTTTCTTTCTTCTCTTATTTTGCAGCAAATATGTCATAGAGATCTGAAACTGGAAAATACACTGCTAGATGGCAGTCCTGCTCCTCGCTTGAAAATATGTGATTTTGGTTACTCTAAGGTATTGAAAAGAAGTCGATTTAATTCATTTTCTGAAAACTCTTATAATTTATTTTCTTTGTTTCTTATTTTTGATACAGTCATCTCTGCTGCATTCAAGACCAAAATCAACAGTTGGGACTCCAGCTTACATAGCACCAGAGGTTCTTTCTCGGCGAGAATATGATGGCAAGGTATCTTTTTCTTTTTCAATTCATTTTTAGTATTATTTTGGACTTTGGGAAAGTTTGTTGTTGGATAGTACACGTAACATTACATTTGATTGTAGTGCCTAATATGGATCCATAAAAGAAGTACCTAATCTAGATAGGCTGACAGTGAGTCCATTATTTTCTGAATGAGGTGATATTGTCTTTTGGCAATATTATCGCTTTCAGCCTTTTTTAAGTTCTTGTTATTCTCTTTTTTAAATATTTCCCAATCAAGAGATATGATCAACATTCTAACTTTCTTGGTGGATGAAGTTGTTTAATAGCATATCTGTGTTGCAAGTGGGTTAGCTTGAAGGCACATGCTTGTTGCTGGTTTGATTTTCAACATCATTTCCATATCCTTGTGCAGTAGTCTAGTCTTGACAAAATAGACACTTGTGTGTCATATTTATTGGAACATCAATTTTTAGTCAATTTTTCACGCTTTCTTAGTGATTGAATTTTATATATAAATGGTGCTTGTCCCACCATTATTTGACTCACTACTGTTGAATGGCTGGGTTTTGATGACATGACACAAGTTGCATTTTGTGATAATTCTTATTTTTTATGACTACCTCTCACCCTAAAAGACAGTGACCTGAAACCAGACATTCACATTTTCACATTTCAATTTATACTTCCGCGTGTTTTCCATTGTCTTCCCATTTCCATTTGCAAAATCCAGTAATAAAGACTCAATCTGTTATCTCTGCACTTGTTCACAGGACTACTAGAACTTGTGTTCATATAGACAAGCAAATCCGTTTTTTATAAATTTTTTGCTAAACTACTTGTGGGATGATCAACGGGATCAAGTTAGCATCTTTTTTATGGGACATTAAAAAAGTCGACCTCAAGTCTTGTTTGAAATGATTAATTAGAAATAATATATTGTAGTTCTATAAGAAATTGTCTGGCACTCACTGCTTGAGCAAAAGGGTGTGAGCAAAAGACTCTCACTGCCTGAGCATAATGCTAAAGAAATATTGATCATCACTAGTCAGTTTTTCTTTGGCTGATCTTATGTGGCACATTCATATTTTAAATTTCAGATCTCCTGTAGCTTAGTTGCTCATCTAGATCCTTTTAGTAATCTGGAATATTATCATATCATGTCTGGTTTGAAATGGTTGACTTCCCATTCAGCATGTATCAGTGGCAACCGTCTAATTGTATCATTTACTAATTTTATCAATTAACTAAGTTGCACCTACTTCCTATACTTTATGTTAACCTTAACTGATAACTGGGGCATGTTTGTGTTGTTTTTTTTTTTCTTTCTCTAAAATAGATATTTTTAGCCTTAATTTGCAATAATTCTATTCTGATTTTTCTTTAAGAAAATTGCATATTTCATATTCCTTTTCCCATCTGCTTTTCTCTGCTAGTCGTCACTCATCACTAAATGTAACACCCGGAAATTTGAAAAAAATTTATTTATTATTTTATTATTAATTATTTTAATTAGGTTAAAAAAAAAAAAGCCACGTCAGCAGACCTAGTCAGCAGTCCCGACCAACCATGACCTGCCACGTGGCAAAACCACGTCGACCGGGGACGGGCCATGTTGGCGATCCGCGTACGCGCGATCAGACGGCCCAGATCAAGTGTGCGTACGGACGGCCCAGATGCAATCGCACGGACGGTTCAGATTCAATCAAAAACGGACGGCCCAGATTAAATCAAAATGGACGGCTGAGATAAAAAGGCAAAAGGGTAAAAATAGAATTCCCACACCTGACCACAAAAACCCTAGCCGCCTGCCCTCGCTGGAGACGCCGGCCGCCGCCACCCGCCGCCGCACCGGGGAGATTTCCGACCGCCGATCTAGGTAAATTTCATACCTCCGACTCGTTTTTCTACGCTGATTTCCCCTGTGGCCAAATCGGAGCCAAAATCCCGGCCAAACGGCCGGAAAACACGGCCGAAACCCAGCGGCGCCGCCGCGCCCCTCCTCGGTTTTTGCCTCCGATGAGGCCCTTCCCGGCCTCCGTTTGATGCAATTTTTATATCACCGTGATCACCATTCTTTTCTCTACAGGTTGATCGGAGCCGAATCACCAAAACACGAACCTCACCGGAGAGCCGCCGCACCCGAGAGCGCCGCTGCCGGTAAGCTTCGGTTTTCCGTAATTTTTTGGCCTCCTGAGGGCCCTAGGAATTGCGATATTGGCCAAAAAGGGGCCCTGGGCCTAATTTGGGATTTTTTGGAACACGTGCAGGTACCATTAGTGCGTTTCAGTTCCCCGGAAAAAATTCAGGGAAAATTAGGGACAGCTTGTAGGCGCACTGTGAAGCCGTGTTCGGACCCCGAAACGAGTAAGGACCCCTCACCCTATTTCCTATTACGGTATTAAAGTTCAATAATGATAAAACGGTATTTCTTGAATCAACGAATGTGTGAAATTGCTTAAGGTCGCTAATGGAGCCCGAGTCTAGTGTGTTTGTCGGTTAACTGTTATTTGGCATATTTTACAGTTTTGAATGCAGTATGAGGTCTGATGTTTTCATTTCATTGTTTCGCGTGCATATTTTACTGTTTTATTGATTATGGGTTGAATGACTGAGAAACCGATGCTGTATGTTGTCTTGTTCGGTATAAATTACTGTTTGCTTGTTTGTATGTAAATTGATGATGCTGACTGAGGCAAAGGAGAATGAAAGATTATGTAAATTGATAATTGTATAATGTGGTCAGCCTGATTAGATATCCTGAGAGATGGTGGACGGATCGGTTCTGTAGGGAACCCTACCGGGATTGTGGTCTCTCATACCGGACGGGGTATGGAGACCTTATGTATTTTGGCGCCCATACCGGACGGGGTATGGGGACGGCCCGTTTCACCCTCATACCGAACGGGGTAATGAGGTTTATAGTTTTGGCGCCCATACCGGACGGGGTATGGGGACGGCCTTGGAATCTGATTTCAAGTGTTAAGGGTTAACGGGTAGCGGGACCCCTATGGATCCCCATGGATACTAGTGGGCTGGTAAATGAGGAAAATATGTTGTGTAATGATTGAATTACAAAAGGCGTGATAAGCATTATGTTATACAGTTTATATGATTTCATGATGATGATAATGTTATTGCTTTCATATATTGTTTTATGAATTTCACCGAAGTAAATGGATGGTATAGGATTTATTATGGATAAAAAGATTTGTTGTAAATTATGCTCCATTGATCTTTTTGTGTTTTCTACCCACCTTTACCTCCGTGACGGTGAGATATCGTGATGTCTTTACTGGGCTAGTGTAGCTCATTCCTTATTTAATCATTTCAGATCAGGAAGACATTGTTCCCGAGCCCGTTCCGCAGGAGGACGACGAAGGGGACGCCTAAAGACTCCATAGTCATATTCATAGCTTTTACTTTCGAGTTTCTCCTTTAGTTAGTTTGATCTTTTATATTTTGTGAGCACGTTTTTGGTTTTAGTGTAAGGGATGTTAATCGAAATTTTGATTTCGCTTCCGCATTTGATATTTTTAATACACATTTCATTTTAAATTTCCGGGTCCGTTACAAATTTCCTCTGTTTCCTCCACTGTCAGGACCATCTTGGCCTTACATCAGTGGCCCCAATAGTAGCAGCCGCTGCACCTGAAGCAGGCAGCTGTACTTTCTTATATTTGTCTCTTTGAGGTTGTTCCAGCCATGTACTGCCTGTTGTCTTCCTCCTTCTTTACCCTGGTTCCAATTGTTACCAGAGCTCACATGCTGTGCTGAGTAGGTTGAGGTTCATCCATTGAAGTACTGGCTCTTGGTCATTTCAAGGGTGGACTGATCCTGCTGTAAGTCTTGTTCCAAAGACTGATTTAACGTCTGCAGCTTTAATGGTTTGATAATTGGCCTCAGTTCAGGTTTCTAGCCACTGATGAATCCAGTAATAAACTTCTTATCCGATAATGTAACATGATCGGCCATCATGAGAGCCCTTAAATTGCTCAGTTGTTATTGATAATCAAGTGCTCTACCAATTTGCTCCAACTTATTAAATTTTTCTATGAGATCTTTTCAGTCAGGCCTACCAAATCTCCTGCACAACTCCTCAGCAGATACTTCCCACTCTTTGTCAAGCTTAACTAGCAAAAACCTGATAACGTTTCTCCCAAGAGCAGAGAGGCTTCTCCACTGTGTTTCATCTGCAGTCCCATTCACATAAAAGTATTTCAAACAATATTGGATCCAAGCCCGGAATTAATTCCCTCAAACATTGCAATCTTGACCCTAAGCATTAAAGAATTATGAGTTGTGGTTCTTCAGTGTGCACTCTTATTACCTTCGGCCTAACGCAGTGCAGGCATAGGCAGGACGCCCTTATCAGCTAAATTATTGGGGATTTTGGAGTTTACCTGGGTGGTCGACTCGGTTGGGCACATTCCCCTGGGAAGCATGTCATACAATCTTAGTCGAATTGCTGTTAGGTGTGTCTCTGTGATTCATACATCTCCCACATGAGTTCTATTAACCTCTGATTGACATTCCACACTGTATCCTCCAGTTGCGACATTTTTTTTTGGCTTAATGGCCACTGTTTTTCCCTTGGCATGAGTCATGGAGACCGTAGAAGCTTGAGTTCCTTCAAGAATGAACAACTCTTACACCACTTTTTTAGAAACCTTGGACATCTAGCTTTGACAGAGCAAGGGAGTAGAGAATAGAAAGAAGAATAAGAGAGAATAGAGGAGGGAGACTAGAGAGGAGAGAATTTGAATTTAAATATACTCAAATTTTTGTTTAGCTCTTCGATGTTTACAAGCCTGTTTCCCGTATTTGACTACCTCCACCTCTGACTGTTTCTGGTATGGACCCTGCCAAAACCTATTTTCATCTCTTGTGCCCACAGTAAACCTTCTATGGTTTCCTTACACATTGCCTTCCACCAACCTATTTTCATCTCTTGGACTATCATCGTATCTTTCTCAGTGTTCCTCTTCTTTCTCTCTATTGTAACATGCCTCATATCATGTGAATTGATTCAATAAAGTCTTCTACCAGACAATTTTTTGTATCATCATCTACTCCTTGATAAATTCATAGCAACAACTTGGTTGTGCCGGTTGTCGAATTTTCCAGTATAGATTTGGGAGGCACATAGAAAAATACAGCTAGGTCCATGTTATTAGGAGACTTCTAAGCCTCTGTATAACTTTTCTTCTTTGGAGCAGTGGTGCTTGATGAATCAGTGCAAGCTTAGCTATGTATTTAGGGATGAAAAATTATTGAGTTGATTTATGGTGATGGCGGTTATCAATGGGCTTGATGTGAATTATATTTAGAGGATGAACCACAGGATGACCATTTGGGACCGTTGGCGTAAATTGTTGAGAGATTTATTGCTCATGTGAAGCTAGGTTATGAGTATGGGTGTTCTTGACTTTTGCTGCAAAAGATTGAGCATTCTTTTTCCCTTTTTTTTTCTATTTTAATATGATAATTTTAAAGAAAAAATATTAATTTTATTTTTCATCTGTTATATTGTTGCACTTGGGATTTTTATAAAATTTTTAATTTATTAATAATCATCTCAACTAATTAAATAATAAAATAACAAAATATTATACTCAAAACTCTCTTCTCAAGTTAGTGCAATGATATTACACATATTCAACTTGCATACTAAGTTTTAAAGAGACATTCTGCAGTCTATTTGAGGCGTACACATGTGAATAACCTGAAAAAGGATCGGAGAAGATCGGTCGTAGCGGCTCGCTCGCAGAGGAAACAACTATGCGTCAGATAGCGAAACCAAATGCGAATACGCACGGAAGACCTGGGAAAGGAACAGAAAAAGCAGGTTGGAGCGGCTCGCGCGTAGAAGCAGTAGATCTGCGCCGATATCACAAAATCAGAGGCGGACGTGTGCAGAGAAATCGGAAAAAAGACCAGAAAAGGTTGGTCAGAGTGGCTCACAAGCAGAGGAAGTAGATCTTTGACAGTTTTGCGAAACCCGAGACAGATGCGCACGGAGGAGGCAGAAAAAAGAACAGAAAGGGCTCGCACGTGGAGGAAGCAGATTAGGCCGGTTCACGGGTGACAATGCCATATCTGTCCCAATCGGGATGTTTTGGCAACGGTGCAATGGTTTTTCGGGTTGGATATGGTTTTTTGGCAGCGTGTGTGGTTCGTGTGTCTCTACTGCTGGCGACGTGTGTGACTCACACGCCTCTGCTGCTGGCAACGTGTGTGGCTCACGCGCCTCTGTTGCTGGTGGTTGACAGACTCAAGAGGAGGTCGGCAGTGAGTCTCCGATATTGTCTATGGCGGTGATAATAGTAGATCTGGATTAGTGAATACCAACTTAACCTGCTTTGCTATTTTAGAATTTGAATGAAATTCTGAAATTAAAACCGTAAAATAATTTTATTTAACTCTGATACTATGTTGATTTGGGAGAAAAAATATTAACTTTATTTCTCACCATTTATATTATTATGCCGGGATATTTATAAGTTTTTAATCTATTGATAGAAAATTATTATTACAATAAAATTCTAATTATATGAGATTATTATTTTTGTAAAATTTTAATTAAATCATTTCAACTAATTAAATAATAAAATATTCTACTCAACACACTCACTAAACTCCAAAAGCAAATCCAGGAAAAAAAACTCGCATATCCTCTTTCTTTTCCGCACTTGAGGCCTTCAGCCGTTATGCTCTTCCTTCTTCAATGTTCACATTCATCTGTTCCAAATGTGGTTTCCATCACATCCATATTGGATATCTTCCCATCATTTCCTTGAAAACGCGAGCATCTTACGATTTCAGCTCTGCCTCTCTTCTCTGAGTCGCTGTTTACAACTCAACTAAGTTCTTGAGGACCTCCTTCTCTTCCCTCCTCCCTTCACATTTCCTCTACTTGTTTAGTATCACCCAAAACCTCACATATCCCTGACAACAACAATTGTGTACACTTTGTGCGACCATACAAACACCTAATCATCAATACAATTGTTGTTGCCTCTCCTTCTCATCCCAAAAATCCATATTTTCTCTCGCATTTCTTTTCCTTCCTGTTCTTTTCTTCACTGCTTGTCCTCCTTCATTAGATAGAACTATTGCCACCATAATCACCCATCACCATCTGAAATCCGTCACTGATTCCCTTCTATCAGTCAACAAATTATCATCACTTTGCCAAAACACAAGAAATAGAGGAAGAATAATTTGGCTAAGCCGAAGACCAAAACCAATAACATTGATCATGGTTGCTTGCAGAAAGAGAAGAAAAGCTAATTAAGAATTGAACTTTTTATTTTATGACTAAAAGACACGAATGACATTGTGTAACTGTTAAAATTAAGAAAAATTATACAAAAGTGTAATTTGGTATATTACAATATTTTGAGGTGCATATTAATACAATTAAAAGTGTATCATGCAATTTGATATAAACAGGAAAGTGCAGGGGTACTTTTAATATTCTATCTCAAAAATAAATTGAATGAAATCTACTCCCCGTTTAAGGCAGCATTGGCTTTGGCTTTTGTGTTTCAAATTTTTTTGATTAAAAACACTTTTAATGAAGAATTATTTAACAATACTTTTAAATCACAATAGAAGCTACAGCCGCGCAAAAGCCCACACTTACTTTATCAGTGGGAACTGTTGATCTCAGAATAATGGGGAGGACAAAAAGTGATCATGCTGATGATCTCTTTCTTTCCTGAATTTTGTTGGAGATATATGGATTTTTGCACTTCTGATTCCTCAAGTTATTTGTGACTTTGATCCCTTTATTAGTTCAGAATACTATCATATGACATATGGCATATGCAGTCTACTATCAATCCAATATAGAAAGGGAACTTCAGCTGATCAGCTTGCACTCATCATGTAACGGCCCCGAAAATTAAAAAGAAATGTATATATATTTATTCTAAGTGCGGAAGTGAAATGAAATACATTATGATTAACATCCTTTACACAATAACCAAAACAAATTAAAATATGAAAGAATAAACTAACTTAAAGGAAATACTATAA